AAAAGAAAGAAAAAGAAAAGAAAGGCAAAATGACAGAGAGAGACAGAAAAAGCAGTCATCCGTCCACTGGTGCAGCAGCCAGGACTGGGCCAGGCTGAAGCCAGGAGCCCAGAACTGCATTAAGGTCTAAAATATTGCTATAAAAGTAGGAAGATAATTGTTGTATTTATTCTTGCCTCTGTTTAGAAAGTCTTAATAAATTGCTTAATAATAATGTTAACATGAAAGATAAAAATTGTGGCTGCCATTTAGGTCTATATTACTACTATTTTATGAGAAGAGAGAAGGAAAATAAGGTGTTTAAAAAGTGAGGGTGGGCAGGCATATTGGACAGCAGTTAAGACGCCACTTGGGAGGCCCACATCCCGTATCGGAGTGCCTGGGTTTGAGCCCTACTCAGCTTCGTGCTGGCACACATCGTGGGAGGCAGCAGGTGGTGGCTCACGTAATTGGGTGGCTGCCCCCTGTGTAGAACCACATGGAGTTCCAGGCTCCTCGCTTCAACCTCACCCAACCCCAGTTGTTTTGAGCATTTGGAAAGTAAACCAGCAGAATGTCCAAAAAAAATAAAGAAATGAGGGTAAACTACTCAGAATGTTTTGGGATTGGCTTTGGCAGATTAATCCGCCCATGTAATACCAGCATCCCAAATGAGCACTGGTTCAAGTCCCAGCTGCTTCACTTCCATTCCAGCTCCCTGCAAATGCTCCTGGGAAAGCAGTATAAAATGGCCTGAGTGCTTGGGCACACAGGGCCACCCGTGTGCCAGCCCTGGATGGAGCTCCTGTCTCCTGGCTTCATCTTTGCCCTTCCTTGGCCATTGCAGCCCCTGGGGAGTGAACCAGCAGCTAGAAGTCTTTGTGTATCTCTCGTTCTCTCTGTCACACTGTAAAGAGCAGAGAACAAGATCGTCCATCCTCTGGTTCTCTCCCCAAAAGCCCTTGTCAGCAACGGGCTGGGCCAGGTTGAAACCAGGAGCCTGGAACCTTGTCTGTTCTCTGGGGTGGGTGGCTGGGACCTGGGTCGCGGAGCTCCTGCTCCCTCCCAGGGTGTGTACCGGCAGGAAGTAGGAGCTGGAAGCAGGGTGAGGCAGGTGTGGGTGTGCCTGTGCCTTGCAGGTTCCGATACACACAGCAGAGCACACGCAGGCAAACCTGCCCTCATGCACCTTCCAGCTCACTGGAGTCGTGGAAGGTGGAGGAAGGCGGTTTGTTTCCTGTAGTTTTCTCATGGGCATTCTTTTTGTTGTAAGTACCCATTTCTAGTTCTGCCGAATTTTAAATTTTGATGCTTAGACTGTCCTAGTGTCCCCTCAGAAGCCCTCTGACACTGAAAACAAAGGGATCTCTCAAACTGAAAGGTGCTGTGCTTTGAGAGGGCTTTGGCCCAGGGCTGCCTTCAGGCAGGTTTCTGTGGCACCGTCAGTCTCTAAAGTGCAACCAGGAGCAGAGACCGTGGCTGACCAGTGCTGGACAGCATAAAATACGGGGTCCCGGGTAACGCCGCCACCTGCAGTGCTGGCATCCCAACTGGGCGAGGTTGGTGACCCAGCTGCTCCGCTTCCGATCCAGCTCCCTGCTAATGGCTGGAGAAAACAGTGGAAGATGCCCAAGTGTTTGGGCCCTGACACCCATTTGGAAGACCTCGGATGAAGCTCCTGAATTTGGCCTAACTCAGCCCTGGCTGCTGCACCCATCTGGAGAGTGAACCAGTGCATGGAACACCTCTCTCTTCCTCTCTCCCTCTGTAACTCTTTCAAATAAAAAAAAAAAAATCTTTTTAAAAAGTGAAGTAGTAGGGAAAAGTTTATATAGTTATGTATTTTATATAATGCTATTTTTCAGTTACTGGATTTGAAATGTAATTTGTTTCCCATGTATGGACGTTTCTTGCTGCTGACAAAATGTTTATTAGGCAAGATGTGGAAAAGGTTTCCTTCAGTCGTCCACAGTGCAGTAACCCAGCAGCACCGCCTTGAAACGTTATAATGTGTTTCTAAGCTTAGTGTATCTCTTTAATATATTGTTATTTGTTCGTCAAAAATATATCAGAAGAGGGGCCAACGTTGTGGCACAGTGTTTAAACTGCCACCTACAACATTGAGATCTCGGATGAGAACTGGTTCAAGTCTCAGCTGCTCCATTTCCAATCCGGCTCCCTGCTAATGCGCCTGGGAAAGCAGTGGAAGACGGCTGGAGTGTTTGGGCCCTGCTACCACATGGGAGATCCAAATCCAGTTCCTAGCTCTTGACTGGCCTGGCCCAGCCACAGCAATTGCAGCCATTTGGAAAGTAAACCAGTGGATGGAGGATTCATTCTCTCTCTCTCGATCTCTCTCTGTCTCCTCTCTCTAACTCTGCCTTTCAAATAAATAAATAAACTTTTAAAAGAACATATGGGCCGGCGCCGCGGCTCACTAGGCTAATCCTCCGCCTTGCGGCACCGGCACACTGGGTTCTAGTCCCGGTCGGGGCGCCGGATTCTGTCCCGCTTGCCCCTCTTCCAGACCAGCACTCTGCTGTGGCCAGGGAGTGCAGTGGAGGATGGCCCAAGTGCTTGGCCCTGCACCCCATGGGAGACCAGGAGAAGCACCTGGCTCCTGCCATCAGATCAGCGCGGTGCACCGGCCGCGGCGGCCACTGGAGGGTGAACCAACGGCAAAGGAAGACCTTTCTCTCTGTCTCTCTCTCTCACTATCCACTCTGCCTGTCAAAAAATTAAAAAAAAAAAAAAAAAAAAGAGCATATGTATGTATACACACATGTATGCATATATAGAAAGAAAGGGTTGGTATTCTGGTATAGGGGGTTGAGCCTCCAGTGTCGCATGTCAAGAGTACCAGTTTGAGTCCCAGCTGACCCAGGTCCATGCCTGGGAAAACAGTGGAAGGTGGCCCAAGCCCTGGGGCTCCTGCTACCCATGCGGGAAACCCCAATGGAGTTCCTGGCTCCTCACGTCACCTGGCCCAGCATAGCTGTTGTGGCCATTTAGGAAGTGAACTGCCTTTCCAATAAACAAGTCTTTAAATATGTATGTATAAATAAATCTCCATATTTAAATATGCATTACATATAATCTCAGTAGAACCTTTTGTTTTTAGTATTAAGCAATGAATACCCTGCTTATTAACTGTCATTCTAGTCATTTGATATCATTGAAGAAAAGATATGGACTGTGAAGTAAAGTAGCCATTTAGAAAAAGAAAACGAAAACTTGGATTCCTGTCATTACACCAGAGTAAAATCCAGGAAGATGAAGGAAGGGTTAAAATAAGAAGAAAAAAGTGAAAAAGAAAACCTGTATGAATAGTTTAATTTTGTGCTAGGGAAGGTTTGACTAAACATTATCCAAAATCCAAATACCACAGAATTTAGAAAAGATTACTGCATTTGACCACATAACAATGTTAAACTTTTTTCTGATTAAAAACATAAACACACATAGACATACTGAACCAAGTCACAAAACAGATGATAAACGTCGTGGGCAGGGATATTTGAAACAGATGTCACAGACGGTTTCTCTAACATAAAGCCGAGTGGTGACCATTAGGGAAACGCCTGTACCACAGGAAGCAGCGGCGTACAGGCTGAGAGGCATCGGATGCCTGATAAACAAGGGTACAGCGATGTTTTCAGACCTCTGGATTCGAGTAACAGTGGAAGCTGAGGAGTAGCAGGCAAGAGCAGTATTTTGTGTACTTTGTTCTGTGCATTCTTGGTGTTCTTCCTGTAGTGTGTTTTGGGAGTAGGATTTTGAGGCAGAGGTTAGGGCGCCGCTTAGGATGTCTTCGTGCTACCCTGGCTGTGTGGGCTCGAGTCCCAGCTCCCCTCTGACCCAGCTTCCTGCTGATGCTCACCTGGGAGGCGGCAGGTGATGGCCCAGGTGCTTGGGTTCCTGGCGTCAGCCTGGCCAGCCATTTGGGAAGTGAATCAGCAGATAGATAGGAGACCTTGGTGTGTGTCGGTGTCTGTCTGTCTCTCTCTCTCTCTCGCTTTCTCTCTGCCCCCCATGTCTCTTACTGTCTGCCTTTCAGATTTTACATACACACGGGCTGTTTTCAGATGTATTTGTTCATTATTTCCAGTTTCTACGTAGTATTTCACTGTACGGGTGCAATTATTAAAAAGTAGACACCAGTGAGAGACAGAAGAGCTCTCATCTGCTGGCTCACCTCCCAGATGCTCACAATAGCCAGGCTGGGCCAGGCTGAAGCGGGGACTCTCCCTGTCCACAGGGTTCAAGTACTTGGACCATCACCTGCTGCCACTGGAGTCAGCAGTGGAGCCAGGACGCAGGCCCAGACACTCTAATATTACGCAGGTGTCCAAGCAGCATTTTGAACTGCTAGGCCAAAGCACACCTCTTTTATTACCTTTATTGCATTTTTAAAATGTATTTACTTATTTGAAAGAGTTACAGAGAGAGGGAAAGATATTCCATCCATTGGTTCACTCCCTACGTGGCCTCAACTGTTGGGGCTGGTGCTGGGACTGGGCCAGGCAGCAGCCAGGAGCCAGGAGGTTCTTCTGGATCTCCCACGTGGGTACAGCACTTGGGCCATCTTCTTGCTGCTTTCCCAGGCGCTTTAACAGGAGGCTGGATCAGAAGCTGAGCACCTGGGACTTGAACTGGCACCCAGATGGGATGCCGACACTGCAGATGGCAGCCTAACCCGCTGTGCCACAGCACTGGTCCCTTTTACCTTTCCTAGTAGAGGTTCTCTTTGAAAAGGAGTTTAAGGTTGTTTGAGAGCGTCCTGAGCTTCAGCTGCCTCGTGAACTGTGCAAGGACAGAGTGGGCCTGCACTGCACGCTGCGTTGCCTCCTCCTGCTGAGCCAGATTCTCCCATGACGGATCCAAACCCTGACATTCCCATGAACGGTTTCATTTGTGTTTTTCTTAGGTGAATGCCTGAGGTGTATGTTCTGGAACAATCTGGGTTGCATCCACTTTGCCATGAGCAAGCACAATCTGGGGATTTTCTACTTTAAGAAGGCCCTGCAGGAGAATGATAACGTCTGTGCACAGCTCAGTGCAGGCAGCGCTGACCCGGGTGAGTGCACACGGGGCGGGTGGTTGTTACTACCTGTGCACAGCCCAGTGCAGGCAGCGCTGACCTGGGTGAGTGCACACGGGGGTTGTTACTACCTGTGCACAGCTCAGTGCAAGCAGAGCTGACCCGGGTGAGTGCACACGGGGCCGGGGGGTTGTTACTACCTGTGCACAGCTCAGTGCAGGCAGCGCTGACCCGGGTGAGTGCACACGGGGCAGGGGGTTGTTACTACCTGTGCACAGCTCAGTGCAGGCAGCGCTGACCCGGGTGAGTGCACACGGGGCGGGGGGTTGTTACTACCTGTGCACAGCTCAGTGCAAGCAGAGCTGACCCGGGTGAGTGCACACGGGGCCGGGGGGTTGTTACTACCTGTGCACAGCTCAGTGCAGGCAGCGCTGACCCGGGTGAGTGCACACGGGGCAGGGGGTTGTTACTAGCTGTGCACAGCCCAGTGCAGGCAGCGCTGACCCGGGTGAGTGCACACGGGGCGGGGGGTTGTTACTACCTGTGCACAGCCCAGTGCAGGCAGCGCTGACCCGGGTGAGTGCACACAGGGGGTAGTTGTTACTACCTGTGCACAGCCCAGTGCAGGCAGCGCTGACCCGGGTGAGTGCACACGGGGGGTTGTTACTACCTGTGCACAGCTCAGTGCAGGCAGCGCTGACCTGGGTGAGTGCACACGGGGGGTTGTTACTACCTGTGCTCAGCCCAGTGCAGGCAGCGCTGACCCAGGTGAGTGCACACGGGGGCAGGGGGGTTGTTACTACCTGTGCACAGCCCAGTGCAGGCAGCGCTGACCCGGGTGAGTGTACACGGGGGCGGGGGGTTGTTACTAGCTGTGCACAGCCCAGTGCAGGCAGCGCTGACCCGGGTGAGTGCACACGGGGGTTGTTACTAGCTGTGCACAGCCCAGTGCAGGCAGCGCTGACCCGGGTGAGTGCACACGGGGGGTTGTTGTTACTAGCTGTGCACAGCCCAGTGCAGGCAGCGCTGACCCGGGTGAGTGCACACGGGGGGTTGTTGTTACTAGCTGTGCACAGCCCAGTGCAGGCAGCGCTGACCCAGGTGAGTGCACACGGGGGCGGGGGGTTGTTGTTACTACTTGGAGGAGAGCATGGTTTTTTTTTAAAGAGTAATTTACTTTTCGAATGGCAGTTAGAGGAAGAAAGAAATTTTCTGTCTGCTGGTCCACCCCCCAGATAGCCACAGCAGTCGGAGCCAGGAGCATCCTAGTTTCCCTTGAGGGGGCAGGGCCCAAGCGCCTGGCCGTCTTCCACTGCTTTCCCAGGAGCATTAGCAGGGATCCAGATCTGAAGTGGGGCAGCTGGGACTCAGCCAGCGTTCATGGGGGACGCCAGCACTGCAGGCAGCGGCTTAACCTGCTGAGCCACAGCGCTGGGACACTGACAGTGAAAAGCATGACTTAAAGAGCAAGAATGCTCTGGTCAAGACACAGCGTGTGGCCCTGCGTACGGCTAACGATGATCCCGACTTCTAGTAGGTGCTGTTGCTTTGAATAGCGAGGCATTAGGAGTAATTTTGAATTGTTAAAAATTTAGCTAGATTCTATTTTTCATGGATTTGAAAATCAGTAATTACTAAAGGTAATATTTGATTCAAAATTAAGTGTCCTTTTTCCATTAATTTATTTAGAAAACACAGAGATCTTCCATTTTCTGATTCATTCCCCAAATGTCTGCAACAGTCCGAGCTTGGCCATTCTGAAGCCAGGAGCCCGGGACTCTGTCCAGGTCTCCCCCATGGATGGCAGGGACCCAGCTGCTGAGCCATCCCCTGCTGCCTCCCAGGGTGCAGATTAGAGGAAGCCGTATCAGAAGTGGAGCCAGGACTGAAACTTGGTCTCTCTGATATGCGATGCGGGTGTCCCGAGGGGCATCTTAACTGCTGCACCAAATAGCTGCCCAAAAACTTAAAGACCAAATTAGTTTTATTGTAGCTTCTTTGCAGAGTTTACCTTGGGTACCACTGGCAATGTCTGATACTCTTTAAGCAAACTCCTAAAGTTTACTCTTTTTTTTTAAATTATTTATTTGGAAGGCAAAGCTGGAGATAGAGCCTTAGAGAGATCAATCTTGAATTCTCTGGTTCACTCCCTACATGGCTGCAACATGTAGACCTGGGTTAGGCCCAAGCCAGGAACTCTGATGGGGTCTCCCACATGGGTGGCAGGAGCCCAGGCACTTGAGCCACCCTTCACTGCCTTCCCAAGCACATTAGCAGGAATCAGAAGTGGAGCAGCCGGGACTCATCCGCCCTCTGATACGGGATGCGAGCGTCAGAAACTGCAGCGCAGCCCCCGCCTTACGGCACCGGCCTCTAAGTTTATTTTGATATTCACTCACATTTGGTGGATCCTTGATCTGAAATGTTTAAAGTCAATCACGTTTTTAAGAAGTAAAAACCTACCAAATTAAAGAAACGGATGCTCTAAATCATGGTGATGTCAGGTTGTAGTGAGGGTGTCCTCTCTCACTCCTGTCGTGCGGGAAGGTGCTGTCAGGTGGTAGTGAGGGTGTCCTCTCAGCTCCTGTCGTGTGGGAAGGTGACGTCAGGTTGCCGTGAGGGTGTCCTCTCAGCTCCTGTCGTGTGGGAAGGTGACGTCAGGTTGCCGTGAGGGTGTCCTCTCTCACTCCTGTCGTGGGGGAAGGTGACATCAGGTTGTAGTGAGGGTGTCCTCTCACTCCTGTCATGGGGGAAGGTGACATCAGGTTATAGTGAGGGTGTCCTCTCTCAGCTCCTGTCATGGGGGAGGGTGATGTCAGGTTGTTGTGAGGGTGTCCTCTCAGCTCCTGTCATGGGGGAGGGTGATGTCAGGTTGTAGTGAGGGTATCCTCTCTCACTCCTGTTGTGGGGGAGGGTGACGTCCGGTTGTAGTGAGGGTGTCCTCTCTCACTCCTGTTGTGGGGGAAGGTGACATCCGGTTGTAGTGAGGGTGTCCTCTCTCAGCTCCTGTCGTGGGGGAAAGTGACATCAGGTTGTCGTGAGGGTGTCCTCTCTCACTCTTGTCGTGCAGGAAGGTGACGTCAGGCAGTGAGGGTGTCCCCTCTCGCTCCTGTCATGGGGGAAAGTGACGTCAGGTTGTAGTGAGGGTGTCCTCTCTCACTCCTGTTGTGGGGGAAGGTGACGTCAGGCAGTGAGGGTGTCCTCTCAGCTCCTGTCATGGGGGAAAGTGACGTCAGGTTGTAGTGAGGGTGTCCTCTCACTCCTGTCGTGCGGGAAGGTGACGTCAGGCAGTGAGGGTGTCCTCTCAGCTCCTGTCATGGGGGAAAGTGACGTCAGGTTGTCGTGAGGGTGTCCTCTCACTCCTGTCGTGCGGGAAGGTGACGTCAGGCAGTGAGGGTGTCCTCTCAGCTCCTGTCCCTGCCTTCCTCTAGTGTTGTTGCCTGTGGGCTGGCAATGAGAAAGCACAAGTGGGATGGCTGGGGAGGATTTGTGTTGCTGAGGGTGGGGCCCGCTCTGGTTGGTGAGAGCTGGTACTGCTCATAGCGGGGGCGCTGAGACCCGGCGTGGGAGTGTTAAAGTTCTTACAGGAACGCATGGTTTCCGTGCAGCTGTTAGTTTATACCTAATGTATTCTCGTCTAACTTTTGTTGCTAGGCAGAAAATTTTCCGGAAGACCCATGTGCACGTTGCTGACCAACAAGAGGTATGAGTTGCTGTACAACTGTGGGATCCAGCTTCTCCACATTGGAAGGCCCCTTGCTGCCTTTGAGTGTCTGATTGAGGCTGTCCAGGTTTATCATGCAAATCCACGCCTGTGGCTTCGGCTGGCTGAGTGCTGCATTGCTGCCAATAAGGGGGTGAGTGCTGTTTGGTTATCTCTTCTCCCATTCTTGTTCCGTGGAAAGCAGAAAATAAGTGGGAATATAGAAAACCTCATTCCACTTTTAACTCTCCGGGAGTTTATAAAGATAACCTCCCGTTCTTTAAGTTGAGGAAAATCTTAGTTCAAAAGCCATTTGTTCACGTTTTGATTCTAGGTGAGTGGCAAGATGTGTGGCGCTCAGTCTCTAGACACCATGGAGAGTTAAGACCCGAGAGAGTCTTGCTGGTGGAACGTTGATTGTCAGTTGCTGGGCAGCAGGATGATGTGTGTGAACCAGGTGATATTCAGAGACGTATCACTAACACCGTGGAGGCTTAGCCTGCTACGCCACAGTGCTGGCCCCAGATTTATACTTTATAGAAATAAAGGGATATCTAGAAATTGCTTTTACATTTTAATCCATTCGTGAATTTAGGTTGGGACCTGTCGTATAGTTACTGGAAACCAGGAAGTTACTTCCTCCTGGGACTAGAGAAATACAGGAAAATTTAATATTTTCTTTCTTTATTTATTTATTTATTTGACAGGCAGAGTGGACAGTGAGAGAGAGAGACAGAGAGAAAGGTCTTCCTTTGCCGTTGGTTCACCCTCCAATGGCCGCCGCGGCCAGCGTGCTGCGGCCGACACACCACGCTGATCCGATGGCAGGAGCCAGGTGCTTTTCCTGGTCTCCCATGGGGTCCAGGGCCCAAGCACCTGGGCCATCCTCCACTGCACTCCCTGGCCACAGCAGAGAGCTGGCCTGGAAGAGGGGCAACCGGGACAGAATCTGGCGCCTCGACTGGAACTAGAACCCGGTGTGCCAGCGCCGCAAGGCGGAGGATTAGCCTAGTGAGCCATGGTGCCGGCCAATATTTTCTTTTAAAATTATTTATATGGGGCCGGCGCTGTGGTGCAGTGGGTTAACTCCCTGGCCTGAAGTACCGGCATACCTTATGGGCACCAGTTCAAGACCCAACTACTCCACTTTCGATCCAGGTCTCTGCCATGGCCTGGGAAAGCAGTAGAAGATGGCCCAAGTCCTTGGGCCCCTGCACCTGCGTGGGAGACCCGGAGGAGGCTCCTGGCTCCTGGCTTCAGATCGGCACAGCTCCGGCCGTTGCAGCCAATTGGGGAGTGAACCATCGAATGGAAGACCTCTCTCTCTGCCTCTGCCTCTGCCTCTCCCTCTGCGTCTCCTTTCTCTGTGTAACTCTGACTTTCAAATAAATAAATAAATCTTTTTTAAAATATTCTTATTTAATTTAGAAGACAGAGACAGGCTGACATCTCCCATCCAGTTGCTCACTCCTTAGATGCCTACCATGGCTAGGCGGAGCCGGGCTGAAGCAAGGAGCTGGGAACTGAATCCAGGTGTCCTGCGTGGTGGCAGGGACCCCGTTACTTGAACCATCAGCTGCTGCCTCCCAGGGTGTGCAGGAGTAGGAAGCTGGATCCAGAGCAGAGCCCAGACTCGAATCAGACACTCCTGAGGTCGGAAGTAGGTGTCCTAAACAACATCTGAACGGCTTCACCAAGTGTCCACCTCGGTACTTAAATTACTTAATTTTAGAAACAGTACTTTCAGGGTTGTCTATAGATTCCACTGGACTTCAAATGTAGCCCCCATTTTCTGCTAGGAGACTCTGTGTTTGAAATTTTTAAAAA